ACTTTGTTCTATTAATCTGACAGTCTATGATGCTCACCTTCCAGGCACGATTGCTGAAAGCAAAGTGGGTGTATAAGCAAGTGTGGTAAAGAAAGCTGATGGTGCCAGCTATTAAAAGATATAGTTCGGCCGCGCGGCCAGGTCCAGGCCGGGGCGCGAGCGCAGTGTGGCGCAGCGGCAGGAAGCGGGGCGGGGACTCTCGGAGGCGTTGGGGAGCGTGGGAGGGCGCGGTCAACTCCAGGAGGGACCTCTGGCTGTCGCCAAGCCCGCCGCTGGACTGGAGCCGGCCCCACCACGGGTTCGTCCTGGGCCCCAGCCCCACCAGCATGGCCGGCCGAACCGTGCAGGACGAGACCAAAGGTGATGGCGACCATCGAGAAGGTCCAGAGATGGGAGAAGTGCTGGGTGACGGTGGGCGACATGTCCCTTCGCATCTTCAAGTGTGTGCCAGTGGTGGACCCCCAGGAGGAGGGCCGACGATGCGCAGGAGGTGGTGCAGAGAGATCCTGAGGCCGAGAGCGGTGGGGCCAGGGTGCTAGTCCCCGAGGGGGTGGCCCCCTCATCCTGCTGGGTCTCAGCGATGAGTACAGCAACCAGAGCTTCCACTCGGAAGGGTCCCTGCAAAAGTGTACCGAGCCCAGCCCTGGGGGTACCCCCCAGCCCAGCTGCCCTGAATCGCCTGTCAGACCCCTGGATGGGGTCCCAGAAGAAGCTCAGCCCCCACAGCTGGGTCAAGAGAGATCCCCGGGGCATAGCTGTGGGTGGCACCGATGAACCCCCAATGCTGACCAAGGAGGAGCCTGTTCCAGAATTGCTGGAGGCTGGGGCGCCTGAAGCCTACCCCATCTTTGAGCCAGTGCCACCTGTTCCCAAGGCAGCCCAGGGTGACACAGAGGACTCGGAGGGCGCCCACCCCCCCAACTCAAGCACATCTGCCCAAATGCCCCTGACCCCTGAGAAGTCGGCCTGCTTATCCTGCCACCCCCAGGGGACCCTTTGACTTTTTACAAATAAAAGACCTTTTTATTAAAAAAAAAAAGATATAGTATCCGGGGTCTTAAAGGTTTGAAGATAAACAAGCAGCCATCTAGCTGATAAGTAACAAAGCCCACATGGAAGAAGCACACCAGCCTGTGGGATCATGAGGTTTCGATGGGATCAGGTATCAGGCATCAAAAAACAAAAAAATCATATCATGGTGAATGAGGGGGAGTGTGGAATGGAGACCCAAAGCCCATCTGTAGGCAACTGGACATCCTTTTACAGAGGGTCACAGGGAAGAGACAAGCCAGT